CAGGATCCTGGTATCATGACCTGAGCCAAAGGCAGACGATTAATGATGAGCCACCCAGGCACCCCCACAAGGAAATTTTAAAACAAAAAATACAATGGTCAAAATTAAAAATTTACTAGGTGGGCTCAACAAGACAATGAAGATGACAGAGGAAAAAGTTAGTGAACTTGAAGACCAATTAATAGAAATTATCCAATCTGAAAAATAGAGAGGAAAAAGACTGGAAAAAAATTGAACAAAGCCTTAGACTTGTGAGGTAACATCAAAAGATCTGATATTTGTGTCATCAAAGTCCTGGAAAGAGAGGAAAAAGAGTGCTGGACAGAAAACATATTTGGAGAAACAGTAGCTGAAAATGTCTTAAATTTGGCAAAAGACAAAGATTCAAGAAGATCAGTAAACCCCAAAGAGAGTAACCAAAGAAATTCACACCCAGACACATCACAATAAAACTGCTGAAATCTAAAAACAAAGTAAAAATCTCAAAAGCAGTCAGATGAGAACAACACATTACATATGGGGCAACAACAATTTGACTACAGATTTACCAGAAACCATATCGACCAGAAGGCAGTGGAACATTTTTCAAGTGCTAAAAGAAAGTAATTGTCAACCCAGAATTCTGTAACTAGTAAAAATATCTTTCAAGAATAAGCGCAAAGTGCCTGGGTGGCTCAGTTAAGCATCTGACTCTTGATCTCAGCTCAGGTCTTGGTCTCAGGATGGTGAGTTGAAGACCCTCATTGGGCTCCATGCTGGGCGTGGAGCCTACTTAAAAAAAAAAAATAGAAGAAGAAGAAAGTCAAAGTAAAATTCTCAGGTAAAAAAAACAAAAACCCAACGAAGAGAATTTGTTTCCAGATCTGCTCTAAAAGAAATGCTTTAAGCAAATTCTTCAGGTGGAAGGGAAATGATACCAGAGGGAACCTGAGACTTCAGGAATGAATAAACAGCAACAGAAATGTAAACATATGAGTAAATAACGAGAGTATTTTCTTCTCCTCTTAAGCTAGTATGTGTGATGTTTGAAAGCAAAGGCTTTCAATGTTTGCAGATGTAATATATATGACCAATACAACATAAGGTTGTAAAGGTATGTTATATGGTGGGATGGTTTCAACATTTCACCTGAAGTGGTAAAATATTAATTCTAAGTACACCGTGAAAAGCCAAGTATATATGCTGTAATCTCTAGAGTAACCACTAAAAAAAACTATAGAGAGATCATCAAAAAAATCAATAGAAAAATTTAAAATACTAAAAAATATTCAAATAATCCAAAATGCAAGAAAACAGAGAAATCAAAAACAAGTATTAGACAAATCCAAACAAACAATAATTGCATTAAGTGTAAATAGCCTAAGTATACTGAGTAAAAGACAGATTATGAGAATGGGTAAAAAAACAAGATCCATCTATTTACCATCTATAAGAAACCCACTTTATTTATTTAAGGTTTTTCGGGGGCGGGGGGGAAGGGACGGGGCAGAAGGAGAGGGAGAGAGAGAATCTCAAGCAGGCTCCACGCCAATGCAGAGCCCCACATGGAGCTTGATCTCACAACCCTGAGATCATGACCTGAGCTGAAATCAAGAGTTGGACACTCAACCAACTGAGCCACCCAGGCGCCCCAGATTTTATTTTCAAGTAACCTCTACACCCAACGTGGGGCTTGAACTCACAACCCCAAGATCAAGAGCCTCATGCTACACCGACTGAGCCAGCCAGGCGCCCCAAGAAACCCACTTTAAATATAAGTTAAAAATAAAAGCATAGAAAATGACCTACCACATAAACACTAACAAAAGAAACGGAGTAGCAGTATTCATATCACACAAAGTAGGCTTCGAAGCAAGGAAAATTACCAGAAATAACAAGGGTCATTACATAATGATAGAAGGGTCAATTCATTAGGAAGACATAACAATCTTAAATGTGTATGCATCCACCTAACAAAAGAGCCTCAAAATAAATGAAGCAAAAACTAATAGAACTGAAAGAAGAAATAAATCCACAATTATCGGTAGAGACTTCAATACTCCTCTATTGGTAAACAAGAGAACAAGGAGACAAAAAATCAGCCAGGATATAGAAGAACTGAACAACACTATTAGCCAAATGACTCAAATTGACATTTATAGAACACTCCACACAAAAACAGCAGAATACACATTCTTTTAAAGTGCACATGGGAAATTCACTAAAACAGAACATACCAAACCTTAATAAATTTAGAAGAACTGAGATCATACAAAGTATGTTCTCTGACCATAAATGGAATTTAAAGCAGAAAACATTAACAGAAAAACAACTGAAAAATATCCAAGTTCTTAGAAATTAAAACACTTCTCCATAATTCATGAGCCAAAGACTAAGCCTCAAGGGAAAATAGAAAATATTTTGAACTGAAAGAAAATAAGCAATATGTCAAAATTGGTGGGGTCCTGCATATAGAAGGAAATTTATAGCATTAAATCCTTATATTGGAAAAGAAGGGTCTCAAGTCAACAATCCAAATTTCCACTTAAAGAAACTAGAAAATGAGCAAAGTAAGTCAAAGCAAACATCAGAAAAGATACGTCATTAAAACTGGAAGAAATAGGGAAAAAAATCAACAAAACAAAAATTCAGTTTTTTGAAATGATAATAAATATGATAGTGATAAACCTCTAACCAAACAGACCAAGGAAAAAAGACAAAGGGCACAGATTATCAACATCAGGAATGAAAGAGGAGCTATCACTACAAATCCCACAGATAAACTCACTCAAGAAGAAATAACATGAACAGTTCTGCAACTATTAAAGAAATGAAAATCTTAGTTAAAAACCTTCTGAAAAGCAATTCCTAAGGTACAGTCCTGGAATTATTTCAAATAGGAACCATTTTATTCGATTCACAGAGAAAAGCTCTCTATATAGAGACTCTTCCTCTTCTAATATACACTTACACTCATTTTGTAATTCAAAAGCCTAACTTACTATAAAACATACAAATTTCCATTGATAGTAATAGAAATGAATACATACGGTGTTGTATTCAACTCAATTTTTATCAGTACTTCTTGATCTCTCATTAAAGTGGTCATTATGGCCACTCCCAAAGGATCTTTGATACTACTTTGTATTTACGTTAACTATTAACAATACAAGAAGTCAAACTATCACTTGGCTAAGTACTCAATGACATACTTACTAATGGTTAAATCCTACAAAGTGGGGTACCTCACTTCAAATAGTTGAAGTGATCCTTAAAAGTTGTGTAAAAATCAAGTACCTACTATTTAGATAATATACTGAAAAGTTCTAGAAATATTATGTATGAGATTGAACCATATGAAATTGCCAATTATCAACTGGTTTAACCCAGAACAGTATAAGCATTCCTTGTATGATTCAGTGTTTTAAAAGTGCTAGTCACTTCTATCGGAATGTCATTATAATGAATTACCTTGAATGCTGGGGACTGAAGTTCGTTCAACATCTAACAAACATATTCTGGAGATTTTTCATAACAAAGGTTATTTGCAAATCTAGGATATGAACATGTACTAGGAAAGGAGTACTTTACATGGTTACAGAACCTTTGTTTTACTTTTCATGAGTCTGCTATTTTTTTTTGACAGTGGGAAATAGCTTTATTTTTTATTATGTTCAATTTGCGTTTTTAATTCTTAAAAAAACATAAGCCCTGTTATCTGAAGCATGGACTCACTATAGAGTAAGGGTTAAGATCCATCAAGGCTCAAAATATTAGAAACAGAGAATGCAACAATATTTCTAAGATCACAACATTCCTTTGCTCAAAACCCTTAAATATCTTATCTCACAGAGTCCAAAGTCCTTACTATGGTCTATAGCATTTCCTGCTACTCTCATCCCTCCTCTACTCCACCCTGGGCTTCTGGCAGTTCTTCAAACACCAAAGTACACTCCCTCCTCAGCGCCTTTGTACTAACTTCCTTAGCCAGGACTGCTCCTCAAAGATATCCACGATGGCTTACCTCCTCATCTCCTTCAGATGTCTGCGTTAACTGTCATCTCAAAACAGCCTTTTCTGATCCACATATTAGAACAGTACCCCTACTACAAGCCACTGTATTTTTTTTTCCTTGTTTATGGTCTGCCTTCCCCAAATAGAATACAAACTACAAGGAAGAGAGTCCTTTGTTTTATTCATTGCTATATCCCCAGAGTCTTGAACAGTAGCAGGCTCTCAATAAGAATGTGCTGAACAAGATGCTGCACAAAGACTGCATATATGTTTCCAACTAAAACTTCTGACACCGATACAAAAAAAAAAAAAAAAAAAGGGCTAAGGAAACAGTTCGGTACCCGGCCGGCTCTGCTACTTAGAATGAAACAACTACCCTTTAGAAGAAAGTATTTTCAGTAATATATACTAACGAATGGCTGGATTCCCTAAAGACGAAGCATTAACGCTAAAGGCATGCGTGCTGCAAGTCTCTGTTGGTACAGAATATTTTCTTTTATCACACAAGACTTTCAATAAGTCATTTTCCCATGAACCAAGAAATTCTGGCTAAAGATACTTACGGAAAAATAGAAGTGGGAGTTAACCTACTGATATACAAGAATTAGGAAATACAGAATATACGAATCCAAACCTCACACAAGAGAAAAATACCAGAAAAAGGAATTGGAGGGTTTGCCCCCTTAGAAACACTAAGAGAGAAAAAGTCCGAGACAGACTGCACCTCTTTCCTTGGCGCCAGGGATGGTACGAACACTCAGTCCGGGGGTGCAAGGCGTGAGTGTCCCCGCAAGGGGCTTCGGAGGGCGAGGCCCGGACTCTGAGTGGGATGGGAGTGGTGGACCCCGTTCACTCTCCTCTCCCAACGATTTTCTCTCAGGAGCAAAGGTAGTGCTGACTGAGCCTACCCGCTCCCAAAAAGGCTTGGGGGAGGGTTGATGAGGGTAGACCCCTCCCCTTCCCCAAGGATTGTCCAGGCCCCCGCAGGAGCCCAGTCTCCCGCTCACCCGGCTCCCGGTTGATCTCGATGTCGAAGTGGCACTGCGGCCGGTCCTGCGCCCCCATCGCGACCGAGGCGGCGGCAAGAGCTAGGAGAAAGGGGGAGGAAAGCGGTCAGGGCGGGAGCTAGGGCGGGGGCTGGGGCGGAGCCCGCGCCACGGTCGCCTCGCGCCAGCCTGTCGCGACACCACGGGAGGCCAAGCCGGGGTTCCCTCCAGCCCCGGGCCTCCCGACTCCCAAGTAGCGCGCACACACATGCGGGCGAGCTCTTTACCTGGTTGGCCTGCAACCTGAGCAGCTCTCCGTGAGCGGAGGAGAAAGCGCTGCCACGGCGGCGGCCGGAGCCCAACGCCACTAACGGACCACCACCCCCTCCCCCTGGCCGGCCTCCCCGCGCCACGCTAAACCCCGCGAGAGTCGGGACAAATACCGCGAGAGCACAGGCTCGAAGGGGGTGTTTAACCGAAGGGTGAGCGCGCACGTGGGCGTGTCCGACGCTCCTATACCTGATCTAGTCCTTTTTGCCCCGCCCCTTCCGCCCCCACCCCCGTTAGAGTCAGTCCGCCCAATCTGGGAGCCCTGATCACGCCTGCGCTCTCTGTTTCCTCTCGTCTCCCTTAAGATCCGTGAGTGCCCGCGCGTTTTCCGGCATCGCGATGCTTCCGTGTTATCTACACCTGCGAGCAAGCTGTAAGAAACGAAGTCGAGGTTTAGTGAACGGACGGATCTTTTGGCCTGTTTTCCTTTTCTCAAGGCGTAGTTATGACACTCTCCTCCTGCTAGACTGTTTCACTTCAAAGGCCTTAGGTGGGCGTCCGTTCTCTCTTTGGCGTCAGCGTCGCAGGGATAGTCTTTGTTCATGGCCATTCATCTTTTGTGAAGAGTCAGTTCAAGACCTTTGCCCATGTTTTATTCGTGTTCGTCTTACTGTTGAATGCGGGAGTTCCGAGTACAAATGTTTTGTTAAACAGGTGATATGTGTATGTTCTAAATACAAATCTTTTGTTATATATAATTCTGAGTATTTTCTCCTGAGCTGGGTCGTTTCATTGTTTTGATGGTGGTTTGTGCAAAGCAGTTTTTAATTTTAGTGAAGTTACTTGATCAGTTTTCTCGTATGGTTTGTGCTTTTTCTGTGCTAAGAAATCTCTGCTTACCCCGAACTCCTGAAGATTTTCTCCTGTATTTTCCTCTAGAACTTTTACGTGTAAGTCTAAGATTTATTGGAATTTTTCATTGTGGTGTCAGGTAGAGGTTGCGGTTCGTTTTGGTTTTTGGTTTTTTCCCCTATGGAAACAGAGTAGTTTCACCACCATTTGTTTAAAAAAACTTGCCTTTTGTCCGTTGAATTACCTTGGCTTTGTGTGGTTCTGTTTCTGAACTCTATATTTTTTAACTGTTTTATGCTACGGCTACACTGTTTTGTTTTTTGTTTTTAAGTTAATTTCTTAAAACTAAAATACACACTTTTTAAATATTTTATCAAAATTATCATTTAACTTTTTAAGTGACAGTTCAGAGGCAGTAAGTAAATTTCACATTGTTGTGCAATCATCAACATCTAGCCACTGAACATTTTTCATCTTGGAAAACTGAAACTCTGTATCCATTAAACAATAACTCTGCATTCTTTCTACCCAGCCTCAGGCAACCACTCTACTTTTTTTTTTTTAATTTATTGTGGTAAGAACACTTAATGTGACATCTATCCTCTTAACAGATTTAAGGTTTTATTTATTTATTTGAGAGGGAGCAAGTGAGTGGGGGGAGGAGCAGATAGAGAGGGGCAAGCAGACTCCTCGCTGAGCGGGGAGCCTGCATGGGGCTGGGGGCTGGATCCCACAACCCCAAGATCTTGACCTTAGCCAAAATCAAGAGTTGGACACTCAACCCACTGAGCCACCCAGCCCCCCCTTTAACAGATTTTCAAGTGTACAATATGGTATTGTTATCAATAGGCACAATGTTGTACAGCAGATTTCTAGGATTTATAAATCTTACATAGGTGAAATTTTATAACCATTGATAGCAACTACTTTCACCCTCTTCCCATCCCCTGGCAAACACTCTTTTATTCTTTGCTTCTATAAGTTAGACTGTTTTAGTTACCACATATTAAATGGAATCATGCAATATGTGTCCTTCAGTGACTGACTTGTTTCACTTAGCATAATGTTCTCAAGTTTCATCGATGTTCTCACATATTGCAGGATTTCCTTCTTTTTTTAAGGCTAAATAATACTCCACTGTATGAATATACCATAATTTCTTTATCCATTCATCAGCAGATGGACACTTGGGTTGCTTCCATCATTTGGCTGTTGTGAATAATGCTGCTGTGAAGATGAGTGTACAAATATCTCTTTGAGATCCTGCTTTCAATTCCTTTGGGCATATACCCAGAAATGGAATTGCTAGGTCATAAGCTAATTCTGTTTTAAATTTCTGGTTTTGTTTTTTTTTAAGATTTTATTTATTTGAGAATGAGAGAGCACAGGAGCAGGGGCAGAGGGAGAGGGCGTTGGAGAAGTGGAGTCCCCTGCTGAGCAGGGAGCCTGCCTTGGGGCTTGATCCCAGGACCCTGAGATCATGACCTGAGCCAAAGGCAGGCGCTTACTGAGGCACCCAGGTGCCCCAAGCTAATTCTGTTTTTATGGGGGAACTGCCGTTCTGTTTTCCATAGTGACTGCACTATTTTACATTTCCATCAGCATTGCACAGGGTTTCAGTTTCTCAACATCCTTACCAACACTTGTTATTTTGTTTTGTTCTGTTTTTTAATAATTGCCATCCTAATGAGTGTGAAGTAGCACACTGTTTTGATTACTGTAGCTTTATAGTAAATTTAAAAATCAAGGTCACTTAGGTAGTTTCTAATCTGTTTTTGCACCTGTGCCACCTTGTGAAGTGCAGAGACCTTCTGCACCGTCATGGAAGTGCTATCCCTGTTGGAGGTTGCCAGTTCTACCTCTAAAAGTACAGTATCTCTATCAGAGCAACAATCTCCTGGGTTTCACATTTGTAACCTAGGCTGAATTGAGAAGCTAGTGGTCCTGGGTCTGATTTTGCTTACACTGTTACAGCTGACCATTTATAGGTTTGGAAAAGACGAAATGTGCATGCCTATTCGGAGATGAAATGGGTTGGTAAAGCTAACTTTCATACACAGACTTTTGAAAGGAAAAGAAGGGGAGCATTGCCCAGGGAAGTAATTTGTAATTACTGTGCTTTGAGCAGCTGGCTTCAGTGTAAGTTGGCTTTAGGGCTCTGGGATGAAATGCTTAATTTGGGGAGTATTTAAAATACTTTAAATCTCCCGAAATTCGCTCTTATCTTGACACTCCCCTAAAGTTTCTTTCCTGCCACTGATTATATGATGTGGGGCAAACCACTTTGATCCTGGAATTCAGTTTGTCTGCAAAATAAGCAGGATGAAATACCTTCTAAGTTCCCTCCTTGCTCAAAATTCTTTTATTCTGTCCTGTGAGTTGAAATTATATTTCAGATGATTTGAGGATAAGGTATGCTATTTGGTCTGTGGTCAAGGGGAAGAAACTACTGGGACAAGGCAGGCCTAGAGCTAACATCCACCAAAAGGATTGATACCTCCTCCCTCATCATCAAGAGTAGTAGAAAATTATCCAAGCAGTTTACAAACTCAGGCTTAATTTGGAGAACGCTTAGTAGTAGGAATTTTCAGGTAATGATTTAGAGTGGGATTATACCAGCAGTTGGCACTTCAATGGATAGGGCTCTAGCAAAACTAATCAGGAATGCTAGTGGAGAAATTTAGATGAAACATAATTTTTTAGAAAATAGAAATTACCAAAATTGACTCAAAGAAATAGAAGGCCTGAATAAACTAGCAACCATTGAAGAAATTGAATTAGTAATCCCTAATCTCCTTCCAAACAATGGTGAAGGACATTTTGCCATAACCAGATGGGAAATTTGATAATGGTCTAAATATTAGGTGAAATCAAGGAAATATACTTAATTTTGTTAGATATCTAATGAAGATAAAGATAATGAAATTTTGGTTATGCAAGAAAATGTTCTTAGTTTTTTAGTGAAGTGAAACAAATGTGGCAAAATCTTGGTAATTGTTGTATATAGCTGAGAGGTATATGGGGATTTTTTGAGCTGTGTTCGGTATTTTTATATTTCTTTGCAATTACTCTTAATAAAACCAGTAAGAACAAACATAGTCTTTCCAAAAACACAAGTTCCACATTGTTTCATAGGCATATTTTACCAGACCCTTAAGGATCAATAATCTTTTCTCAAAGTATTTTAGAAAATGGAAAAAGACAGCTACCTAACTTACCTTGTGATACCAACACCAAACAAAGATAGATAGGGCAAGAAAGTTAGAGACCAATCTCATTATAAACGTGGATTTAAAAATCCAAATAAAATATTAGGAAATGGAGTTTAGCAGCATTTAAATTCCAAAATGTTCATGACCTAGTTGGCTTTAATTCAGGAATACAAAGATGGTTCGACATCAGAGAATCTGTTTCTATAGTTCACCATATTAACAGATTAAAGAAAAGGCATATGATTATCCCAATATATGGTGTATTGGTTATCTATGTATTGCCTCTCAGCTCCTTCAGTATATCTTCTGTAATACACAGTTTAACCTCAAGCAGGGATCTGTACCAAATTAAGTTTTACATTTATATAACTTAGGGAGAAGACAAAAAAGGTAAACAAAAGGAGAGAAAAGGAATCCAATGAGAAGATAACTACGCACACAGTTCTACCTTATTTGCTTACACCATTTTTTAAATAAAAGGATATCCTATATCTTAAATGGGAAATTGCAGAAAAGAATAGGTCCAAGACTGCTGTCTTTAGAAAGACCTGCTTAAAAGGTTGGCCTGTGGGTGGAATCTGGGAACCTGTATGATAATCAATTTCCTACACTTAAAGAAAACTTCAGTTAAATGATTAGAGTGCTTCACTCTGCCTAAACTATTTGAGCAAACAATATGGTTTATGCTGAACACCTTCTTTCCTTCTGGGAATCTGGAAACTTGGTATGTACCAGGCAGAGGATGCGTACATATGTGACCATCCCCCAGTAAAAACTTTGGGCACTGAGTCTCTAATGAACTTCCCTGGTAGACATTTCTTACATGCTATGATTCATCCCTGGAGGAATTAAGCTTGTTCTGTGTGACTCCATTGGGAGGGTGAAGCTTGAACCTGGTTTCCTCTGGGCTTTACCCTCTATGCCTTTTCCCTTTGCTGATTTGCTTTGTGTTCTTTTGCTATTGTAAATCATAGCTGTGAGTACAATTAAATGCTGAGTCCTGGGAGTCCTCCTAGCCAATCATCAAACCTGCAGGTAATCTTAGGACCTACAACAC